TTCCACTTTCCGCTTTTCCACTGTACACTTTTGCACCTTACACTTTTTATATCTAAAGATCTTATTATAATTTGGCAGCCATTAGCTCTCGATATTATTCGCAACGAAGGATTGTTCGTCACGAATAATACCGATTACCAGGTCTCACCACGTGGAGGTTGCTGCGAGTGGAGACCCGGAGATAGAAGGAATCAAAGTTCTTTCGATCTCCCTCTACATAGAGTATACATACATAGATGCATACCCTACATAGAGTCGACGAGCTTAATACTAAGTACGAAACCGTGGCAATCAAAGAAAACAAAGTTCCTTTAATTTCCAAAGTCTAAGTATGACTCTGCCAAACAATTATTTGAACTAAATGGAAGCTAAATGGAAATCGCGACACGACGCGACCATGAAACTGAACTTACTGAGTCAGTCCCGTTTCCTCCTGTTGGATCTGGACTCGAGAGGAAGACGACCGACGCCTCCGAACCAGTCCTCCACACCCTGCATCCCGTTGGGAGCCACTACAGGACGCGACTTGTATCCGTCTTACTGCGCTTTGGACTTACTGCGCTACGCCGAGAGCCTTGGACTACACTAAACGTGATGCAGGAAGTAGAGAACCGATCCGGAGGAGCCGATTGTCTTCCTCTCGAATACAGATCCACCAGGAGGACGGCAACCGGCCTTTCTGTCCAGTTACACAGTTGATCACTACACTTACCACATGAAGCAATAGTGATCGAAATGGAGCACGATGTTACGAGCCCAGTATGGACTTACGAACAAACAAAACAAGTTGATTAATAATTCTTTGGCAGAGGACAAACTCTCGTACATGCATGCCTTAAAACTAGCTAGATACATGCCTTAAAACTACCCAAACCAAACTAAGATACCCACAACCAATACCAAGCGACGATAACTACGGGAAACTACACAAACAAAGGTAGGAGGGACACGAGACGCGGACGCGCGATTGCGAGATCCATACCGACCGAAGGATCGTCGAAGAATGATCCTGAGAAGTAGAGAGAGGGAAGGACGAACAACAACCGCGAGACATGTCGTGACATGTCGATTCGAAGGCTCGTTGAATCCATCCACAAAAGAATTTACGAAACATTAATACCACAGCATAATCATATTCCCCATCATTGTTTAAATAATAAGTACTGTTAATAATTAATTTAACTATTGTCAGAAATTACTATTTAGTTGGTCTAATCAACAGATATTAAAATATTGACAAATTTCTCACGATTACTTATTTAAATTTTATTCTCAACTTTTCATGTGCGGAAATATTACTTTCTCGAAAAACATTGGTATAATAATCTGAAACTTTAAAATGCATTAAATATGTACATCTCCGAATTAATTGAATATTTACAATGCATATAGTAACATTTAGTCTTCGATTAAATATTAATAAGAATCACGGTTCGGAATGAGTATTCATCGAACACAGAGTAATCGTGAGAAATTGTTCTATATCGTTGTATCTGTTAGCTGAAATAACTAAAAATTAATTTCGGACAATTGTTACATTAATTATTAACAGTTACATTGATATTATAATAGAAGGTCCTGCACTTTCGTTAAATCCTTAGGAAGTTGAAGTATTTTTGGAAAGTGCAAATGGGTTAACAGGTTAAGAAGAAACTATAGAAAGTTTCATGCAGGACGCTGAGGTTAGACTAATGTTTTACAAGTAAGAGTAATACAATGTTTACGACTGATCGCGAGATAGGGAGTTCCATCGCATTTTGTATAACGTTTAGACGACTTTCGCGTAATTTTTCTGCTGGTTTCGTACGGAATAAATTGTAGTTTGTACGGGGCAGTTGGTATCTCCATTTTACCGTGCAGTTTGAAATATCGAGCAGCGTCCATATGCGAGCCGAATAATACTGATTACCAGGTCTCACCACGTGAAGGTTGCTGCAACTGGAGACCCGAAGATAGAAAAGAGCAAAGGGTTAACATGTATAATCTTCGACAGTTTAAAGATAACATTTTAACTTGGTAGAAATTTTCCAACAGTGAAAACTTGATTTTAGAAAACTTCCTCGTACCGAACTGTAATTTAAGTAACCGTTTCGATGTTATTTAGAAAATACGATTCTCGAAAATTGTCAATTTCTCCCTTGTTTTCCCTCAAACGAGACAATTGTACATTTATCGATAACTTTCTAGAAGAGAGCCACACGCAGGACGAGACAACGCCAGAGAACAAAAACAAAGAAGAACGGAAGAGGTCGAAGTCGAAGATGGAGGGATCGTCAAAGGACAGCCAAACGATGCTGATATGCTCGTTACGGCCGTACAAAGTGAAAAAATTGGCCATCGAGGAGAAACGAAAGTCAAAGACGAACAGTCACGGTTACAAAGGCACAGACGCGAATTGTCTTCCTCAGGAACATCGTTTCTCGTCGTAGCGTAACCCATCCCCGTCTAGCATCCACTCTCTGTGCCGCATACGTAGATACACAATTGCATCGATTCGCGATCACCGTATGAATAACGTTTCTCGTTTCGAAACACCATTAGTCTTCGCCAGTGTCGTTTTAACGTACGACCGTGCTGCAACGTTGAACGAGTTGGCGGCGGTAGCAGTCGCTAAAATTTCTCATCCGCACCCAGACTACTATACCCACGTTTATTTGGATCCCTCGAATCTTTTTCGTTTCGATCTTCGATATCTAAACGATGTAAATTTAACAAGGACTATCGCGACGATGTTAAAACGGTCCTGATCTCTGCACGTCTTCGCAGGGCCGTGGATCTCTGTTCGGATGTGTGAGAATCTCTGATAGGATGCAGCAATGACGCTAGCAATGTTATCGCCTCTCGTGTAAATACCGCAAAACGATCAAGAACAAACGAACAAGAAACGCGTATAATTTTTAAGAAGAGCGACGATACGTTGAACGAATGAACTCTGCGGTCGAAACCTGGGATATATTCTTTACGCGAGCGTTATCTTTCATGGGAGAAACGTTCCAAAGACATACACGACCTTTTGAGAACGAGGATTGCAGGATCCACTCATCGAAAATCACGGATATCTACGCTATACCTAGGTCGCTAACTATAGTTATTAGTTATATTATATTATATATATTATATATAAATTCTATAGAATTTTCTCGCGCACGCGTCAAACAGGTTCTCTAACCTTTCATACTTTGTTTGCGTTCGGGTTTTAATTCTTTTCAAGATTCATTTATAAGAAATTACATCACTACGGTTGAGTGGTCAAGTCACGGATATCTATTATACATAATACAGATAACTGCGGGTCGAATTCAAGGAACAGGACGTTCGTTTGAAAACAGTCCAATATACTTAAAAAGAATATGGAATATATCGTAAAAGCACAAAACACGCGTCCAAGGATCAGTTTCGCGGCCATGTACCGATGCTCCAGCGATCTAGATATAGTATTCGATATCCGTGCTGAAAATCCTTCCCACGACGTCCATCCACGTGCGCGATAGGGAACGTCGACATATCTTCCAGCTTGGCCAGAAATAATTCTGGCACGGCTACCGTCACTACGGAGATACGACCGCGAGGAGTTCGAATAATTAGAGACTAATCCGTGTAAGAATATATAAACGCGAAGAAATAACATATTTTCAAGAAGATGCACCCGTGATTCCGAAGCGCGATATACAAATTAGAAAGTATAAATTACTCGTTAAAATTAGCGTTGAAGAGGAACAAATCGAAGTAGAACGATATCGAATAGTATCGAATACTATTCGGGTGAACGACGATCGGTTAACGGAAGTGACGAGTAAAGCGATCGGAGAACAAGCGACACGAACAATACAAACGGTAACGTTAAGGATAACAATAATAATAGGAGCAAATAAATCTTTAGGCAATACGTGCTTTTACTCATCGTTCGCTCAGAGAGGGAGAGAGAGAGAGAGAGAGAGAGAGAGAGAGAGAGAGAGAGAGAGAGAGAAAGTGAAACGTTTCGCAAGGTAAAACTTTAATCTAGTCCCACGGCCCTGTTACACTTCCTTCCCCTTTCCTCCCATCGCCTAAACCTCGTTGATCTAGAATAAGCTTTGCGTGTGCATTAAATGGCATAGCAAATGCAATCACGCGATCAGTCTGTAAGTAATCGAGGGATCGTCGTCGTTCCGCGGGAAACTAATCGCTCTGAAAACTTCGCATCGGACGTCCCTCGATGCGACACGAGTGTTCGTTTTATCTGCTGAGTGTCTTACGTACAATTAGACGATATCGTTGTAATAGAAGGCATTAGATAGGTCCAGGCAGGATCAGATTCGTCGCGATCGACGAACATACGTGGCCTGAAGAAACGTGAACAACTCTAGTATCTTTCATTCGTTGTTCGACTATCTTTTTATTTGAGTAACAATTTATCCTGCCTTTCATTAGTCCAATAAAACTAATCGAACCAGTACGATTCGTTACGTATCGTGCACGTATTCTAATCACGTTTCTCCACGCCTAATCGTACTTCGCAACCGAAACGTCGCAGTGGAACAGTCGTCGGAAGAACCAGAACCGCTTACGTGCCCACGACCGTTCGGTTAAATTCGGTCGTTCGTAATAAATATACACGATATTAAGAGTTAACGAAGTGTTCTTCGCGCATGTCGTAGATGTCGAATTAAAAAGTGAGGACGCGTTACACATGCTCACGTAGAGAGTAGTAGAGCGCAAATGTCGTCTATGTTTACATCCAGGTACCGATTTCTAGCCGCGGCAACGGATATCGTTTCTTCCAATGTATGTTCGAGCCGCTGTTTTATTAACACGTTGCAAAGTGTCAACGATTAATATGCAGGGTGTCCCGACAACGGTGGGCGCACCACGCGTATTATTCGAATTGTCTTCGCCGAAAGAAAGAGTTTATTGGGAGATTTTAATACGCATACTTACGACGTAGTATGATTTTACAATTGCGTGCTCAAAAATTCGGTCGCTCCTTTTTTGCTCCGAATGGTGATCGTTGTTTTCCTTTTATTTCCTCTTCTTTTCTGTCCTTTTCTTCTCCTTCTTCCTTGACGAACGTTTAATTTTTCATCGAGGAGAAACGAACTGTCCGACTCTATCTCGAGTCCTCGCTGTAACTTGATCGCACGCGACACAGACGTTTTCTCCTACGTTTCTTTTTAGACGAATCATCGGTAAAATACATATCTCTAATGGCATTTCTATTCATTGTTATCGTAAATGTAGGAAAAACGAATAACTGTACAGTTGCACGTTAATGAAAAACGAAGAAGAAGAAAAAAATGGTTAATATTCCCCCGTGGACGCGTCCACTTGGGGATCATTGTTATGCTGGTGGTCTAATGTTCACGACTCGAGTATTTTTTAATATATTTATAATTGTTTTCGACGTGTATACGAATGGAGAGGGGAGGGCCATTCTGAACATTGATAACGTCCTTTCAAACGGATGTACTTTTTACTCGGTGTTGTTTACTTCGATTATTTTATTCGAGCTTTGAACTTACAATAATTTTGGATGTACTATACAACTGTTTTTAATCGAACGCATTCACCATTTAAACATTAGATTTTGTCCGTTTAATTTAAACGGATTCGTATTTTTTAATTCAAACTTGCCATACAGACTGAAGCAATGTATAAAGGTTACTCGAAGCACGTAACGCGATAGAGTTTGATAATAATTTTACTATTTTTAATTAATAGTATATTAATGTCTGTATAACTTGTCTTTCAAGGAGAAAGTCTTTTCTTACTCTTTAAGTACAGCAGATATAAAAGTGATAAATACGCTATAAGTACAAGACAATGTTGTTGCTCAAACTTTTTACTTTCCAGCTTCTTTTTACAATGTTTCCACTACTGTTAACAATTCAATATCGTTCTTCGCACACTCACAGTTTGAGAAAGATTGCTCTCTTCGTTTAAAGAGAAAGTGGAAACTGTACATATATATCGCAAATGTATATTTAGTCTCGTGTACATCTTCAATGCGTACAAAAATGCTAGACAAGCTACCTGTCGTCCTATCGTTTCGTCGTTGAAATATTCAGAATGGTCCCCGAACACGTGAGACACATTGATTGTTTCATATTGTTAACGTATTATATTTATTAAACGCGAGAAACACGCGTATGTAATCGTGCACGACACTCGACTTCTCACTTCTCTAAGCGTTTTATCATTTCCACGTACCTGTTATTCAAAGTTGGATCTCGATACCTCGTAATCGCTTGGAGTTTCTGGAGTAAATCAATGTCTTCTGTGAATTAACATAGCTGGAAGTAGAAAGTTCCTAGAAGAAGAAAAACAAAAAAAAAAAAAAAAGAAAAAGAAAAAAGAAGTGTACAGAGCGTGATTTATTATTTATTATCGTAATTGTATAATTAGCGCACACTTAGCAGTGATATAGTACAAACAAGAGGGCCCGCGACGTAGATTTACGTATGGCATCGAACGAGCCAGTGAGATTGCAAGGGTATAGCGATGAAGAAACTTGAACGGTTGGACGGATCGTCTCGTCAGAAAGGCACGATGAAGAAAAGACATATATATATATATATGTATTAGGGTGGTCCTTATTTCAATGATTTCTGAAATTTGTGTCACGCAACCCCTGAATACCTTGCAAATACATAAGATAAGATAGACGTAACTGATTGATCAAATTTCATGTATTTTCCATTAAAAATTTTCGATAATTTGGGGAACGTGTTAACGTTACAATCGAGAGGTCAAATTTTGCAGGAATTTTGTTGTGTGTATTTGCAATGTATTTAAGGATTGTGTAAACGACAATTAACCGACAAAAAGAACTCTTACAAATAAAGCGCGCGAAATCATCTTTTTATCTAATTCATTGTTTTTAATCGAACGTCGAGAAGAGCCATAAAAAAATTCGAACGTCATTAAATTCGCCGTTCCTTCGCATCTTTGCGTTTCACGAAGGAACACACGCGCCCTTTGGACAATGATTTTTATCGTCTACGCCTTCGAAATTGACACTATCCGAAACGAACAGACGCGATTGTTCGACACACCCAATAAATTTCTCGATAACCAAACGCCAGTCGTTAGAAAAGATTCTTTGTCACGATATCGAATATTCAAGCGCTTAATCAGATTTAGTCGAATCGATCTCTCGCGTATGTACAATTTTATTTTCGAATTTCTAAGGCCTAGAATCGTAGCTATAAGACAAGGTAGCATGCGTAAGCGAATAAAGTTGTAATTTGCCAGTTTTTGTTCCTTATGAGGGTATCTTTTATTGCCAAGAAATATTCCCTCCCATGTAGTATTCGTTACGTAACGCTGTAGAACGTTTGTTGTGTAAACTAATTTTGAAGGACAGATGTGTTAATAATAGGGGAACTTTCGTGTAATGGAACAACGCATGACTAGCGCTCAATTTTACTTTAGATAACTTAATATAATATAAGTTATCGAATATAGTTTCTTATCCGAAAGTATCTTTATTCGAATTTCTATTTATATAATTTTTTTATTTTATTTAGATAATGCCCATCTCTGGTCCCGAAGCTGTCCGATTCACGTACACGCTGTCGTAGGTTTGTGTGCGTAAGTGGTGGGGATAGAAACATTTGCGGACCGAATCTGGCATCTCTGTTGGGGAGGGGATGGTGGCCATGGTGGGGCCATTCCGCCATTGCCATCAGTGAGCGGGGTATCTTTGGCGGGAGAGGATGTAGTGGTGCTTTGTTTATTTGTCTGATAGAAACGAAATTTAATAAAATCATGGGATTCTCTAGATGGATATTGGCAATAAGTGGTCGTAGTAAGTACTTTCGCACTATCACTTCTATTTCTTTCTTTATTTTTGTTTATGATTTGTATTATAAATCAAAGGAATCCTTTTCGATTTTTATTATTATTCTCGTTATAAATTGAAGGCATCTTTCTTTTATTTGCGTTACAATTTCTCTATGATTATTTATTATAAATTAAAGGGACGTCTTTTTGAGATTTCGAAACATCCAAATCGATTTCTTTTATTAATACATTTTTTATTATTATAATTTAAAAAGGCACCCCTTCCGAGCAAACTACTGCACATATCCATTCTTGTTTTTGCTCCGTACTTGTTTGAGTACAGCAATTTGCATTATAACTAGAACAGGTGTTTCTTTATTAAGAAAGAATGAACTGAAATAAATTGAATTCAATAGCAGATAACTCAGTATACATATAGAATAGAATAGAAATAGATGTATAGAAACAGTATATAGAATAGAAACGCTAATTTTCGATCGGTACAATTCGTTACTCACACAACCCTACAGATTAGTTATCAATTTTTGTATATCAGGGGCAGTCCAAAGAAACAAGCTATGATTATTTCAAACTGTATTTGTTATAATAATTGTCTCCAATACGACAAGCAAATGTGTACTCCGATAGTTCCCAAATTACATTGCAATTTACAAAGAAATAACGTACACGGAACGTCGTATAACCGTTAGGTAAAATCGAGGGGCAACGCGTATGTCAGGAAATTGCTTTATTGCAGTTGCTATACAAGGATCGTGTATCTTTAACAGTGTTTGTTGTCAAAAAAAAAAACAAACAAAAAAAAGTGAACAATTTCAATTAGAGTCTAACTCGAAGCCGGTGGAGCGTTTACTGCTTCAGTCGTGGTACTTTGCGAGTCCGATATTGGTTTCTCCTGTAATTCCAACCATGGTAATCGTTTCTGTAGCTCCAACCTGTCGCAGAAAATATTTTAATGCCATTATAATATCAACATTACGAAATACCGATCGATCGATTTTCGAACCTAGACTCTAATCGATATGAATCACTGTCGAATAATAATCGACGTATTTAAAATTTCGTTTCACTAATTATTCGAAGTGTGACAATTATTATTCTACAATGAATTCATTTTAAAGATGCACGCAAATATCGTTATGCAAATATGCAATATCGCGAACACGATGTTTTTAGGGCTATTTAATAATATTATTGTAATTTTGTTACGAAAGTTTACCTGTATCGCGGATGACTTATCGCGTACACGTACGGGTCCAAACAAGCAACGGCTTTACACGTGATGGCTGGTATCATCGTGACACCGGGTGTTAAGAGCGATTTATCACCAAATGCACCGATCATTGCCATCACACCGTACGGGGTCCACGAGAGGACGAACAGGAAGCAGATTGTGATGGCAGCCTTGGAACAAAAACACGTATAAATTGGTAACGTTTAGATCACGATACTTGGTCCGAAATTATTTAATCTAATTTTTAACAATCATTTCTACAAATAAAGTCATCCCTCGGTTTTTTTAGACACCGAGGCAAGTACATAGGTGACATCGCCTGGTAGACAGGTCTGGATTTGGATGAAGTTAGGCATGGATTAAGTCATGTTAGTTATGAATTAGAGGTTAGCTTGGTTAGGCCATGCTATATGTATGGATATGCCTGGGTTAGGTAGTCGCATGCGTAGCTCGAGTCATTTTAAGGTACCTGCTCATTGACTACTAACCCTTTGCAGTCGAGAGATTAGATTCCACGCAGCAAATCTACAATACCTAATGTTTCTTTAGGTTTAATTTCTTCGGAGCTCAAAGAGTCAATAAAATGATTGCCTTATTCTCAAATCTAGATAGCTTAGAATTCATGGCAATAGGATGGTAAGAAACATCTCTAGTTGCTGATAGATACCAGAAAAAAAGGTCTCAAGTGCAAAGGGCTAATAGAAGTTGTCACAATTGACTGAAGAAGGTACCTTAAAGTGATCCAAGCTGCGTAAGCCAACATTAGCTTACTTCGAACCCTGAGAAGCTATCTGCAATGCTGACAAAGTATCCGAATTAATTCTGAATTAGAGTCTCCACTGATACATCGGTATAATCTTTGACCCCTGAAGAAGCTAGCTGCAATCCTAACAAAGCATCCGAGTTAATTCTGAATCAGAGTCTTCACTGATACATCAGTATAGTCTTTGACCCCTGAAGAAGCTCCAATCCTAACAAAATGTCTAAATTAGTGAAACTAGCTTATCCAAGAGCCTTACAGCCATCAGCCTCGGTTATAGTATTAACGAAGAATCCGATAATTATTATACCGTGTCGAGTACCTTGGCTATACGAATCTCGGCGCTTTGAGTGTTCGAGCCCGCATTACTCCGTAAGCTGTCAACGTTCATCTTCTTGGCCTGTTCGCGTAGCGCTTTCTCGTGGTTGACGACGTGACTAACGATTTGGCTGTAGTAGTAGATAATAAGCATCATCGGTATGGCGTAGGAGAACGTGAATATGGTGGCGACGAATGTTCGTATGTCGTTCGAGTCGGTCAGGTAGTCGAAGGTACAGCTGGTTAGGAAACCCTCGGGCACGAAACGTCCCCATACGTTCATTAAGGGCATCAGACCCCAAGGTACGGTGTAGGTCCAGATGCACAGAATGAACAAGAGCACTTGTCCACGGGACAGCTTACCGTCGAGAGGTCTTGCTATTGTACTGGAATACAAATTTAATGTTAACTCTTTGCACTCGAGAGGTGACTCAGTCACCATTTCACGTAGCAAAATTACAATACCTAATGTTTCTTTAGGTTTAATTTCTTTGGAGCTCAAAGTGTCAATAAACCTCATTGGCGAGGTAAAGGTGACCTTATTCTCAAATCTAGAATAGATTTCTAGAATAGAATCTAGATAGATCTAGAATAGATAGCTTAGAATTCATGGCGATAAAATGCTAAGAAACATCTCGAGTTGCTGCCAGATACCAGAAAAAAAAGCCCTCGAGTGCAAAGTGTTAACTGAGGTTGGATTCTGATTTCGAACGAACTCTCTTCTTAAGGTGTTCTAGTCTAGAACTCTCCAAAATTTATTTTTTTTTTTTTTTAAGTTTCTCAAAGTGATAGTTTCTCTTGTAGACCTTACAAGTTTAAAAGTATAAAACTTTGCAAATTCAAAAATCAAACTAGCCTATTTTTAAAGGTGTCAAGGCACTCTTAGGCCTCGAACAATTAATTACTTAAGCTTGTAGCGTTTATAATTGAATTAAGAGTACCTATGTCTGTCGTATGCTATCGCTGCGTTCGTCATCGCGGCACCGATGCCGGACAGGGAGCCCATGAAGCCGAATACTTGACATCCAATGTTGCCCAAAGCGAAACCATGGTTAAAGGCGTTGTATATAAAGATCGGTGACTTAATCATCATGATGAAATCGCAAACCGCGAGGTTCACGACGAACATATTCGAGGGTGTCCTTAGTGATTTGGCGCTTTAGACAAAAATAAATTACGAATAAAATTAGTAGATTCTTTTAATCGTCGAAGAAGTATTGAAAATGTTAGGCGTGGAAATGAATTAGCTGCCTTCTTTATATTCGATCATTTGCAAGTTTAAGTAGAAATACTTGTCATTTTGTTAGACTGAAATGTCGATCTTCCAAGTCCTCGATTTAATCTCTACGAAACCATCTGTACGGTGAATTTATATACAGTTAGATAACCCAAGTTTCGATCTAATGGCCATTAGAATATTCGTTTAGAAAGTTCGTTGGCTAATAAATTTACTTATCGTTGTTTATTCGACGGAATGATCGAATACAAAGACTCGGAATTAATTTCTTAGGCCTAATATCTACGCCCAATCTAATACATAGATAAATTACACTTTTCAAAGGATAAATTCTAACTAGACTTTATAACGGATCTTTATGCATTTATAGGAAATTTGAATGTGCAAGAACCTACAAAATGCAAACAATATGCAAGATTATAAAAAAGATTGAAAGTAATGTTCATATTATAATATTTGCAGAATGATATAAATTCCTATTTAGATAAATGCATCCGAATGCATAAAGATCCGCAGCCTAATTATAACTTAGCACCTCCTAATAATGAATTCGTTACACATTTTTACAAACGATTATGCGACACACTTTTTTCTTTACGCACACCTATCTTTCCAACTCAATCACATGGAATAACAATAAATCTCTGTACAACACCAAAATTCTAGCTACGCATGAAACACTGTAGTGCACTTTCTATTCCACTTCACGTTTTCCACAAGAAAAAAAATAAATTAGAACGTCCATCGTGATTACTGGTTCAAGTTTAACCCTTTGCACTCGAGAACTCTCAGTCACCACTAGGTTTTCTTTAGGTTTAATTTCTTTGGAACTCGAAGTGCCAATAAAATGATTGTCGTTGAGGCAAAGGTGATCTGATTCTCAAATCTCAAATTAGAGATCTTAATATAAGTCAATATAACCTTGGCATTCGTGGCAATAGAATGCTAAGAAATCATCTCGAGTTGCTGGTAAATACCAGAAAAAAAGGCCTCGAGTGCAAAGGGTTAATTTTAATCCATGCTACTACGCAGAGATGAAGAGCTAGCTAGTCTAATCGGTACCAGTATAGTCTCCTTCTTGATTATACCACTGAATTCTATATCACAATCTATGCTATAGGATTCTATATTACAATCTACGAAATTACACTGTTACCAATCAGGCCCGCTAGCTAACTTCTCGTCTCCGTACGGTAAGACTGCAAGATGTTAAATAGTGCAAATGGAATAGAGATGATTTTATCGATAATGACGACTTACGCGCAAAAGATCCATATCACCAAGCCATTCCCGGGTATAGCAAGGAACATGTATAGAAAGTACAAGAGAATCAACATATAATGAAGGGAGGGGTTCGGCTCGGGATAGACCAGCCAATGATCCGGTATGTGAACAATCTCTTCGGGTGGAACGTTCCATCCCAGCAAACGCGGTGGTCCCGATGGTAGATATCTTGCTTCCGAACGAATACTGTCGTTGGACATGTTGGTCACTCCGTTTGCCAGCCCCTCTCCTTGATACGGCCGATCAGCCAGCTATTTTATACCGTTCTACCTCCTTGAATCGCGAAACCCTAATCCGTTAGCTTTGCTGGCTTCGCGCGGGGGATTAGCCAGGGGATCATCCTCTAGTTGCTCTTGGTCAGCAGGAATGTGCGTCAAAGTCATAGGAGTTGGTCACGCAGATCATCAGTCGATGGTCTGCTTCCAGCAAGGGTGGAACCGATTTGTTTCCAAAACTCGAGATTCGTTATGTCGTGCATTGATGCATCACACCTCCATGTAGAAGGAGGAGAGAGGTGTGCGTGGGTCCAAGGCGATAATTTAGGAGCATCTAAAGAGAAAGAAACGGAATAAAGATAACGATAAGAAAATGATATAACCCAGAAGAATCATTCAGAAACAATACGTATACGTACGCCTAATCTAATAAGTACTTTTAGCACTCCTTTGTCTGGCTGTTTAGAATTAGGAATTGTGAATCGGTTCATTGGAAACTGTTTCATTCGTTTAATTTGTCCCGGCCACCAGAAATTCGTAACGTAATTATTAATCCTTTCTCTTCGCAGGTTTATTGCGGCCATTTAACCCTAGAAATTCTTACGTTTTAAATAAGATTATTTATTTCGTACGGTTACGTTCCCGAGCAAAGGAGAATCATATCGGTCCACGAACGTTTGAATTACTAGACGTATCTTTATTATTTTCATATTTCGTGTAATTACATTTTTCCCTACGACGAAGTGAAATAACTACAATCCTGAACGTTTAATACTTATTTAATTTGATGTGCATTGTTTAGAAATATTTATACAGCATGCCCCAACACGTGGAACTCGCTTCGATGGTCATTGTACCTCAAGAATAAGAAGGATGTATTCGTACGAACTTTATCTACTATTATATATACAATCCATTGCCGAAGCGAGTCCCACATGTTACGACACACGTTGTAGTGCTGGTCTTTAACGCATCGCAAAATATTTTACATTATCCATCTGAAATATAAAATACCATTTGTCTTTTCTTAATAAGCGTTTTCGAGCTCCAAATACTGCGTAAATTTCCACCGTTTCGTTTATACTCTGCCCTGTCGCTCGGCAGACACGTCTGTTAAAGTATGAGCTGGCAAGTAGGACAACGGATTCTTAGGATCCTTTAACCGCGGATTTGGTACCGTAGTTGATCTCGTTCCTAAACTCGTATACCCTTGGTCGTACAAGGGACAATACGGTACGTTATGCTTTAACAGAAACTTCCACACTTGATCATACGTCCAGTTCAAAATAGGATTCACGCGAATTAGATTCGGCCAGCTTGGATCGGTTGGCGTAAAAGCTTTCAGATTTTCCGAACCAGGATCACCCTTTCTCACTCCCATGAGGCTTACTTTCAAGTTCTTCCTTTCGTTTAAAAACGATTTCAATGCCAATTGCAGAGGACCTTCTTTCCTCACTAACTCGAAACCATAGTACCCTGCAGCTCTCTCCACGAAAGAATCCACCTGAATGAATATTCAAAAGTCATGTACAGTTCGTATAAAAAATATAATGCGTAACATTTTTATTAAACACATATATATGAATCGTTTAAAAAAGAAATTTGGACCTATTCGAAAGGTTTACGTAGAGTTCTTTTCCATTTATATAAATTTACAAGTATAAAGTATTAGGTTGTTCCAAAACTTTTAGCTTAATATTACCTCTGGAAACGAATCTGCTGTTACATACAAGCACAGTAACGACGTAATATTTTGTAATTTCACAATACTGGCAGCCAAATGTAAAACCAGCGTACAGTCCTTCCCACCGTTGAAACTTATAAAAATATCTTCTGGTTTGTACCTGAAAAATATACGTAGCGTTTATTATCTTTAGCTATGTTAATCGCAAACGGTGCACATTCGTATTTTGATACATACGTTCTGTAACATTCTTGTAAAATATCCAGAGCGGATTTAACGTGCTCTTCGTTGTCGGCTTCTTCGAAAACAGCCTTTGCGTGGTACGCGGTGAAACCATTTTCTAGATTTCGTACCCTTTGAATCGGCAAGCGATACAAAAGTTCTCCTTTCGATTCTAAAACATCTTCTTTCTTTCCCTCGAACGTAAGTCTCGTCAAACAATCGCACGATGCTTGAGGATAACTTCCAATGCTAACTTTGTCGCTCCAACGGCTAGCGTGTTCGTCCAAAATGTTCACGATAGATAATTCGCTTAAATTGATATCTATATAGTCGAGGTGTAAAGGAGCAGACCCTTTTAATCGCGTTATTATTACGTCGACGGCAGTCTCGAAATATTTTGGAGAGCCTGGCAATACAAACACGTTGCTCGCTTTTATAACTGCGTACTTTCCTAAAACTTTAATTGAACGATCTTTGAATTTATTTTCATATTACAATCGGAGTAGACGCTTTAAATTGATAATATAAACGTGTACTACTTTCTTTATCATACTTTTCGATTTGGTATTCAGTAATTCGCTTACTTTGAGAAGGAACATAAATAAGCTCGCAGGGGCTCGGTACTATGGCAAGACGTTGAGCTTCTTTTTCGTTAGGGAAGAGAGTTGCAAAAAGATTAACCAATTCTTCGTGTGTTTCGAGTTTTAGTCCTAAACCTTTAGCCACGGCTTCGTATGTTACGTCGTCGTGCGTGGGTCCAACACCGCCTGATGTAAATACCACCGAGTACTCTTTGGAAGCATCGTGTACGGTCTTCGCAATTTCATCTACCTAACACAAAAGGCTACATTACGCGGTGTGAGAATTCAAATATTAATCATAACAAAACCATACGAAAGTTATATTTTTGTGTCATCGAAACTGTAACTAATATATAAAATATCAGGATATGAGATATTATTTATCTTAGATATAAAATTAGATATTAACCCTTTGGACTCGAGACCGTTTTTTCTGGTATCTACCAGCAACTCGAGATTCTTTCTTAGCATTCTATTGCCACGAATGCTAAGATTATATTGACTTCTAATTCTATCGACTTCTATTGAGATCTCTAATTTGAGATTTGAGAATCACATTTGCCTCAACGACAATCATTTTTATTGGCACTTCGAGTTCCAAAGAAATTAAACCTAAAGAAAACCTAGTGGTGACTGAAAGTCACCTCTCGTGTCCAAAGGGTTAAACTTTGTTCTTCAGATTTTTTTAAACGTTCTAATTATTTCCCTTATCTTAATTTTATTTATTTCATGTAAGGGCGATAATAAATTAATACGCACAATATCGGGAATTACTGTTATTTTTCGAAGCGTAATACCAGATGCCCGTAAACGTTTCGCCAAGTAAGATGCGTTTGTATCTACAATTTGTCCACGTAAAATTTCATCTCCTATCGAAATCAAGGCTGCAGTATGGACCTCCATCGTGAATCGTCGTCCTAAATGAATTAAAAAATAAATTTATGTAAATAACGATGCAATCGAACTTACCTAAAAGTATATCTTGGGTTTTACAATAAACTTTAAGACTTCTTCGTTTAGTACTTAGTAGTAGATCGGTAAAGAGCAATAATGTATGCAGTAGTCAACTTTATACTAGTAGTTATCATTGAATAAATAAGCCTTTATTTCTAGGCGCCTGAGAGTATACTTTGATATGTAGTCGGGATAAAAGTTTGGTGATAAGAAGCGACTCCGTAAATCATTTGTATATTTAATTACATTTATTTTATGTAACAAGATCTGTCCGATGTAGCTTACATAAAATAGAGCTTACAATATTTCTTCTTTTACATTCTATGAAATAAATCAGTATCGCTAAATATCATCAAAGTAGGTGATAACAATGTAGTATTAGAAACATCTTAGATACTATCTTAAAAGTGTTCATCAAATTTGCATTTGTTCGACCAAAGACGTTGTTACATCTGTCTGTACCGGTGGCTTTTTGGGCTCTTTCTTCTTCCTTCCATGTTTCGCTTGGTTTACCTTCGGCTTTGATTTAGATTCGAGCGCTGCCTTCTGCAATTCCTGAAGCTGTTGATCTATCTGAGCCATCTTATCCTTGCACTCTTTAATCGCTTTATTTCCTTTTAAATCCAACTATCGAAATGAAGGAGAATAGCATGAAATCAAGTTCATAGATACCACTTGTCCATTTTAATTAAATACGTTATTATTAGTACACCGTTTGCAAGGATTCACTTACTTTTTTTAAATTGGTTACCACCTTCTGAGCTTTCGCTTTCAATTTGACACTACGAACAGTTGCTACTTTGAATACATTCTTGTTCTTCTGATTCTTTTTCTGTCCCTTGTTTTTTCCCATTATTCTCTGCAATATTATCGCTTACATATGTATTGGAATTACTTTCCACTTTCAATTTCTTCGTTGCTGGCTCCTCGCCTTTTAACACGCTTCGCGTTAATAGAAATGACACGCGAATCATTTCTTTGAACGGCGAAACCTTTCTAACCTGATGCAAATTAATTAAAGAGTTATTCAACGCGCAGCCTAATTTCTCTTCGACTAACAGTTGTCCAAGTCTACAAGCATCTTCTCCTTTGTTCGCTTTTACAAAGCAGTATAGATGTATGGTCGGTGGTTGGTAACATATTCTTTCTATCTCGTCTTTGTTAAAACAATCGTGAAACACGTCCAAAAAGTCAACGGCGTTACTTGGTAAATTCATTGCTATATGTTCCGTACCAATTCCATTATTAGCTCGTCTGTTCAAAATATCAGCTTTAACGATGCTTTTTATGAACTCTCTGCCATCCAAGTTAAAAGATTTGAAATTAACGGTAACTTTATTGATGACAGCGTTTCTTTGAAGCCATTTATAAGATTCGGGATTCAAGTCATTCGCGAATACGTTAACTCCTGCACGGGCAGCAGGAATAGAGAACGGTCCGATTCCAGCGAATACATCGTACAAAGTATCTTTAGGTTTCATAAGTTTGATCAAATTTAAATGTTCGGTACACAATCGAGAATTCCAGTAAACTTGAGAAAAGTCCAACTCGTACGTGAAACCATTTTCTTTCGTTACCGTAATAGTATTCTTATCGCCTGCGAGGATTTCCATAGTGAAGTGTCTAAACGTCGTATCGATAGTGTTCACCTTATTAACAACTGTTCGAGCAGACGGAATAGTGTCAAGAAGAACTTGACCGATAACATTTTTGTATGGTAAATGCTCATCGCGCAGATTCAAGTGCACGATATGACCTACCAAACTGTACGAAGAAGGGACATCAATCCCTTTGGGTAAAATAGCTTTCAATATGTCGTTACCATCCCAATTATCATACTTTACAGTTACTTTCGCTGTTCCAAACTGTTCATATACTTCCGCCAGTTTCTGTCTATCATTTTCTGAGAAATTTTCGAAATTTTGTATCAACTTCGGATTTAAATATACGATCGTTTCGTTGGCTGTATTTTGAATAGATTTGAAGTTTCTCACTTTGACCAAATACTTTTTCAAAACTGGAATTACTTCCGAAATAGTAACATCACGAAACTTTAAGAATGGTAATTCTACTGTAGTCGTGAACGCCGTACGATCCAAACGTGTCGCCCCTCGCACTGATTCTGGAGGAACCAGCAAAGAAGTCATTGTATTCTTAAAAAAATAATATCTAGTCCAACAGTATTTTGCGAATACTGTGTTCAATATCCAATTGCTACTGTACATGTAGTATTATATAAGATCCAATAATATGATACCCTACAAAGAAGTCTTAGTTACCATATTTTGATCAAATATTGCAAAAGTACAATACATATTTTATGATTAATATAGTTCATCGTACTACGTTAACTTGGTCGAATGTGTAGACTTAGAAAAATATGAACAATATGTAAAGCATCATCTTAAACAATTGACCGTATCAATTTCTATTAGTAAAAGAATTACTATATTTGTTTTAACGCTTTAACAAAGTCTGTACATTTATTTTTATCCAATGAGCTTTATGTTTTGTTCATATATATATATATTTATAGATCCGTGTTTCCACTCAAAGAATCATTTTTTAATTTTGTTAATTTAGTTTGTGTCGCTACAAGTGAAACATAAACTAAATTGTGGTTCACATTTTATATATCGCTATAATGGCATCTCTTTAAAGTAAATCTAAACAACGACTAGGTCTTAAACATTTCAAATATTCATGCGATTGTAATTAATGGGTAGTTACATGCTTATCAGTCGTTGCATCGCCATAGGAAGGTTAAAATACATATATATGAAATGAACATATGTTAATGAAAACGAAAATGTAAAAAATTGAATAATTTTAACTTATAACAGAGTGCATGGTATTTGATTATATTATTATGAGATTTAGAATAATTTGGAGAATACTATTATGTTTTGATCACTTTTACGAATCAGGTAATTTGATATATAAAAAAATGACGAAGGTACATGTAAATATAAGCATTCGTTTAAAGAGATAACGTTTGCGTTCGTAATGAGATATTTTTCTAGGATCATGAGACAGTATAAAGTACGAATTCGTTCTTCCTTTAAATACGAACTTACTTTATTAAATTAATATCGATTATTATTTACCTCTGGTATCGTATCTTTTCCTAAAACTAAAATTCTTCGTGCGCCGACAAAAAAATCTGACAAACGTTAAGTAAGGTTAAAAACTCCACATGCTTCATTCTCGACATTCGCACGATCCGCCATTTATCAATATGCATACATAAATGTTATGTCATAGAATACATGCATCAAGTAATTATACATAAAAGCAAGTTTACAATCGTTTCGTAAGTAAATATTATTTCGTATAAAATGTATTAATAAATTGCATCATTTGAAACGATATACGATAACCAAAAATGCAAATGAAAAGTCAGTAACAATGAAATACAGGGTGTCCCAAAAATGTCGTTACACCCTGAAAGGGGTGGTTTGGGAGGTGATTTGAACAACTTTTTCCTTAGCGAAAATTTTGTTCGAAACTTCGTTAAGCAGATATTAACAAAGCCTCAGACAACATTTTCGCTAAGGAAAAAGTTGTTTCAAATCACCTTCCGAACCACCTCTTCCAATGATGCCAGATGTGTTAGTAACAATATACAAAGAGTTCCGTTTAGATTTTTATGGTTTATTATGACTGATTCTTTCTTTGTTTTATCTAGAAAAGTATGCAGCAGCAGCAAGATGAATACTTGGCAGTCACATCGTCTTCGCCGAAACCGCATAATTCGTTTAACAATCTTTTAGTTTCCATGGTATCCAGTGGCATCAATATACAGGAATTAAATTCTGCGTTAAATAGGTATAACGAGCTCTTGGACGAAAATAAGAACAAGAAACAATTTGTATTTGAAACTTATTTAAATTCCAAAATTCATAAATTGGAAGCACTGTAAGTTTTACTCTTTTTTTTTTCTTTTTTGTGAAGAAGTAAACTTTGATAAGCATCGTAAGCGTTCAAATGTTCTAATTTAGGGAAAATGATGTAAATCTCGAATACGTAAATAAAATGCACATGGGAGCGACGTACGGTTTCAAATCACTTTCCTACGAAGTTGAAACGTGCTACAAGGAAGCATTTGATTATTTACAAAAGATACAAACAGATCTAACAAGTATAGAGAGGTAAAGCAAATGGTAAATAAATCCTGTTTTGAAAATACTTTCGAAATCGATTGAACCGCGTAATTTAAAATATTGTGATATAATAGAACAAATGTAAATATCTCTGATGTTATTATTTTACATTTTCTATTAACTCGCGCATAGTTGTACGATATAATACTTAAATAAGAAACAAATATATAATTAATTAATAATAAAGGATTAGTAAGATAGTATTGATTTGATATAAGCAATGTTTATTTAGAAATACTTTCATTAACATATAAATAATTATCATGATTCGTGCACTATTTTGTTAATATTAATCTCACGTAACATTAAATCATTGGATATATGTCCTATGCGAATGCAAGCATATTAAAGATTCTTCAAGATATACATGTTTATGCACATATTTACAATGTAGATGCGTAGTTTTTATCGTGTCGAGAGCAATAAATAGTTAAAACCTAAACTTAACAACATATACGTTAACTTACGTTTAGAGCTGCCTTATCGTTAAAAGTTACGAATAATAATTAGTTGCATTTTGTTAAAATATTATTTACCAGGAGCTCCAAAAATATTTCGTTTAGTTTAAAAACAGTCTTCGTATCGTATTTACTTCATATAGAAATGGCCGTAGCTCTAACAGCTGCGCTCAACAAAGGGTTTGGGTCTGGTTCTTCCGTTAAAATATTAACTTTGACCCATTCCCGTCGTTTGTTACTCTGTCGCAACGCATCTATAACAGCTTGAACGTATAAACCATCTTCGAACGTTGACGCTGAAAATACCGGTTCTTTTATCCATCCCTTTTTATCTTCAACGGATTGAAATGCTTCTCTCAATGCAGCAATCATGTTTCTCAATCCTTTGACGTACGGTCTCGGAATAGACTCCGTGATAGGAAACGATACGTCTTGCAAGTCGTCTGTATCGTGGTACAATATTTCTTCTTGTCCTTTTCGATAACCGAATAAATCTCCACCGCGTGCCAAGAGATGATTACCACCTCCGCATATTAGTACTTCTTGGGAGAGCTGGCCTTGTAGATGATTGCTTAAAGTTGCCGTTACCAAGGTACCGCTGCTCAATTCCATTTGAAAACTACAAAAGTCCGGCGAAGTAACGTGCCTTATCCCATTTATATGGCTCGTAGTTTGAGTGAAGGTACGAACTACCGCATGCACTCTTGAGGCTCGTTGACCCATCAAGTGAAAAATTAAATCAATCACATGGCTTCCTACTAATGCTAAAATTCCTCCTCCCATTGTATCGTCACATAGCCAATCGTATCCTGTTAAAATAATAGGCATGACAAAATAGAATTAATATAAAAGAACTAACTTCTTGAATGGTTAATTAGAAAAGAAACAAGGCTGTAATAACATTAAGAAATAACATTGAAATTACCAAAAAGTACCAACCGTTATGTAACAAACTGCCCATATGTACTCTAACTTCGATAACAGTTACCAGACCATTTAAATATCCTTCCTCTAGAGCTTTTTTCATATGAACAAATGCTGGTAGGAACCTCAAGCTGTGATTAACGATGCTTATCAAGGAGGGATAATATTGTGCTGCTCGTACCATTTTTAGGGCTTCACTTTGGCTCAAACCTGCTGGTTTATCGCACACAACATGTTTACCTATTCCTAAAGCTTTCACTGCAATTTGGGCGTGCAAGCTAGGAGAGCACATGATGAAGATCAAATCGACATCTTTCCTAAGTAATACATCATCTATTCGACTAGTATGAAATGGTATTTCAAGATCAGTCGCTACTTCTGATACTTCCGCCAATGTACGTCCCCAAATAGCTTCTATTCTAAAGCCCTTTTCTCTGAGAAAAGGTATTATTATCCTGACAATACTTCCTGTACCAAATACTCCGATACCAGGTAGTGTCATATTGTATTGTTATTGTTTATATTTCTTTATGACAGTTTGCGCAGGTTTGCACCGAACAGTGGTGACATATATTCAATTCAATTTTACGTGCGAAGCAAGTTTTAACGAGCTCTTAAGAATTCTTGCTTTCGATCGCTTTTACGAGTATACTTTCTCTTCTAATTTTAGGATAGAATCAGAGACATCAATTTGTCCCATTCGCGGCAAACAAAATACGTCAAGTATATACATAACCTTTTTCCTAGCGGCCATCTTGCGATTAACAGATCAAACTAAATTTTTAAATCGTGAACGAAAGAATCTTGATTCTTTTATTACAGATTCTAGCTTAGGAAAAAAAGACATGTCAACAAGTTGTAATGGACAAATTTACGTCAAGAGAAAAAACAACTACTGTCTATAAACTTTGATAGTTTAAAATATCTATACTATAATAATACATAGTATACATAGATATGTGGTCGCAACCAATATGTTTGAAATCTCATTAAAGGAAATAAACATCAGGAAATTAAAACATACAATTTAACACAACTTCAATTAATGATTTCCCTCAGGGGCTGTAGCTATATTTTGACTATAGCTACAGTACGGGTTTAGCCATTCCCGAGGTACCCGAGCTATGCGAACCTTTCCGGCCGATTTTTTTTTTAAACTGTTCTTTGTAAAATTCTGCTGTGGGCGATAGTTAAAGATTTTTGGAAAAAAACTCACAAAAAATGTCTTGTCTTTAAACGTATTTTTAGCACGTTTCAAAAACGAATTGCAGAATCTGTAACTATCGCCCAAAGCGAAATTTTACAAGGAACAGTGTAAAAAAAAAATCAGCCGGAAAGGTCGCTTCCTCGCCTAATAGGATGAAAATAACTGTTTGGAAAATTACAAATGTTTGACATTATTCTGTCTTTGTCTCTCCTCCGATTGTTGTATCTCCCTCTCTGTCACAGCATCATTGAAGAGACAAGGATCTATCTATCCTTGTCCCGGAGCTACCTACTTTTTCCGCAACTGTCGTTGAAGCCAACTCGCGACATTTTTGCAAAGGAAATTGTTGTTCAGAATAGTCTCAGCTATAGTTTTCGGACACCCTGTATAGTCCGTTCGTTGAAGCTTTTCACTAGTCGAACTATATATACAAGTGCGCAGACGTGGATAGAATAGCGGCGACCAATCAGAATCGAGCAACGTTATTTCGTAACTACGATTCATAAACGTGCATGTAGAGTTTGACAAAGAGTATTAGATACTCTTATCATTATCTAATACTCTTTGGGCTCTAATTAGAGAATCTCGAAATTTTATTTTGCTGAGGACACACCCTTCGAAGAGCGTTGCGAACAAGCGTTAGGTGGCGTTTAGTCTTTTTTTGTCATTGATTTTCCGAAGGGACCCGAAGTAAACCGAACGTCCACGATGATTATACCCTGCGCTAACCTGTCAGTTTGCTTTGCGCGAATGTGATAGGTGTTTATCACGTCCGTTCTATTCATTTAATTATTTAAACATGTAAATATGTAATTAAATCATACGAATCGGTGGTCGCAGCGCTATTTTTTACTTTAAGTTCTTGTACGAATATTAGGGTCGCAAATCATTAAACGCGTGAAAAAATGTCGGAGATTCGTAAAAGAGTAATTGTTACCGACGATCAGGTAAATAGACTTTTCCTATTTTTATGAAAACCTTCGCTCGGTTGCACAACAACATTGGTTTTTTTCATTTTTTGTTTTCGTTATAATCGATCCCGGTTTCGATCATTGATTCCGGTTGGCTGCGAATTGACCTTTCAATTGGATAGCATTCGTGTTTAGTTGATTGAATACTGACTGTGACATCTACCAACACTATACCATTGCGATTACCGCTATACTATTAATATTATTTTTGTGATGTAGCTGCAGAAATTTTACACGCATATATTCTATCACACATTTTTTTTTTACGTGCCTATATAAATTAGGCTCAAAAGAGTTTGTCTAGTATCGTATATATAATATCTAATCTATTAATTAATACCATTTACACAACGTGAATGTTTATTACCTTGTTCAATAGTCGGTCGTTCTATAAAAATAAATTATTCTATGAGAATGTGAATCTTAATTGCGTAAATATCAATGGGTGGTGTTTTTATTTTATTTTCTAAATGATTGTTTACGTAATTTGTATCTCCCCTATTATGATAATGATATACTTCGCAATAGTGATAATTTTGTCGCTAATGACAGCAAAATGGATGAAATTAAACTTCCATTTAAAAAAGAAAAGGAGAAACGATAGTTCCACGTGTATCTGTTGTATAAAATTGTTATTTCATGGAAAAATACATAACGATCATACACAATTTCTTTTAAATATGATAAAGTTTTATTTTGTAAAATTATATCAGTAAAAAGTAGAATATTGAATAGATTTCCCATGGATAAATTTATAAATTAAAGGCTATAATTTATTCTCTTATTTTTAATAAAAGACGTAACAGTACAGACATCTGTGAAGACTAAATGATAATTACTTAGTAGTATAGATGGACAATTTTAATGATATATTGTACAGAAGGAAGATGTGGAGTCAGAAGAAGATGCAAAATTGGAAATTGAAGAGATGGCTAAATCCTTAACGCAAGGAACGGATCATACCCCACACATTTTGGATTCTGCTCTTTCCGGCTTAACCGATCGGTACAATTTTCTAAATTACAAATTGAAATCATTTAAAATGTAAATTACCAAATATAAATAGTTGTTGCATTTTTTTTTTTAGCTGGAAAAATTGGATAATCAGAAGCATCTTTACCTTGTTTATGATTGCTGGATTTTGTGGTATTATTTATATTGGACCATTAGCATTGATGGCCACAGTAAGTCTTTTATATTAATTTTATAAGTGTATATATATATATACATATATAATATACTTTTGTATTCTTTAATAGACATTGGTCGTACAAGTAAAATGTTTTCAAGAAATTATTAACATTGGGTATGCCGTGTATAGAATTCATGGTTTACCATGGTTTAGATCTCTGTCATGGTATTTCTTAATTACTTCAAATTATTTCTTTTACGGCGAAAATTTGATGGACTATTTTGCCGTAGTGATTAATCG